AAACAGACCTCTGAGTCGATCAGGAGCAGTTGCCCTTATATTGAGAATTGATTCCACACAGGTGGATTCTATTGACCATCCTCAGTCACTCAGTCATTCAGGTTAACATTGGATCATTCAGAGATCCTCACTGAACCTCTGGAGAGATTTCACTGTACTCAAAGTAAAGCTGCTAATTTTTTTTGCTCGCCCCACTCTTCAGATTTTTTTTTTGTTACAGGTCATTATTGTGTCCCCCTTGCTGTTGATTCTTCACAAAAAAGTTCAAATTTTATATATATTGTATATAAAATTGGCCTGCCCAGAAAAGTGTCTCTAATTTTAGTTATCAATCAATCTTTATTAAAAGATTCAGCCCTATTAAAATGAACTTCTTTTTTATATGTACGGTAATTTATTTAAAAGCAATAAATGATGCACAGTTAAGGCTGATTTATGCTCAGAAACCAGGTCGTCTACGTGTGTCGCCGTAAACGCAGATATGCCCCCGCACCTTCCGCAGACACTCTGATACACCTCTCCAAAATTGTAGGTGACCGCAGACAGGAGGGCTCTGATTGGTCAAATCTACATCTGCTGTACACCATGTGTATTTCCTGTTTGGTTCCTTACCGGCTTGTTTTGTTTGTATGACCGCCATTGTGGAAAACGACTCGTGAAGATGGACCAGCTAGAAGAGCGAGGTGCGCGAGAACGCTGGGACCCTTTCTCCACCTCAATCCCCGCTATTTTTCACCATCATGTCCCTCCTTTGTCATACAAATTTGTCCCGAATTCCTCACCGCCTCGGCCGTATCTAGACCCACAGCTAGTTCCTGATTGTCCCTCTTGCGTTGCGGCGTGGAATAACAGCGCAGACAACGCTTGAATATTGGGCATAAACCAAAAATGTCTGCGACAAGCTCACTGCGGCACACTGCTGCAGGACGATAACCAGCCCTTTAAAGGCAGATTATACTTCTGCAACCGCACACATCAAAAGTCGCTTGGGTCTGGTCACCAACCAGTTTTGCTGGTATGCTTCTGCACCATCAGTCTAGAATTTCTAGAGACGCACAGCAGTTTCTCGCCAAAGCGCAAGGGGGAGCCTATTCGGGAACTCGCGAGAACTTGGGCAGATCGTCATGAGCACTTCGGCGGCGCCGGCGGAAGTGTTTATCTTCCAAAACAACTATTTCGCATCTGCAAGATATCAGGGTCATGAAGATGGATGTTGAGTTAATGGACTTCGAAGAGGAACAGGTTCTGTTAATGGAGCGAACCTCCTCGATTAACGTTTTGTCGTAGTTTTCCATGGTTGACGTGACCATCCAACGTGTAGTCAGGATTTGTTTGAGATGCGCGATGGTCGGAGAACCTCTGTGCAGGGGGCGTGGTCGTGCACATAGACAGATTTGATGGTTGCAGAGGCTATGTGTCAGAAGCATAAATAGGCCTTTAGTCATCACTTGCCCTGATAGCTTTCAGATTGGGTATAAAAAAAAATCTGTCGGCTTTGATAAGGCAAATAACTAGTAAAAAAATTAGACTCCGATTCTTCTTCTCCTCTTTTTTGTTGGTTACTTACAGTTTCTGCCTTTACTTCAGAAATCTTCCATAAAAGAACAATTCAGAACAGAAAATTCAGAGCAAAAAGAACAGTTTGAGCCGTTGCATGTTAAGACAACTTTAATCTAGAATCGTCAATTTTGAAAAGTTTTTCACTGCGTCTTTCTGCTGTGAATGAACTTTGACCTGACTGTTGTCACATCAGCCCCTCCTCCTCTCTGTGTGTAACAGGATCTTCACAGCCATTATGCCGATGGTGGCGGCTGGTTTGATCCCAGATGACCCCACTTTACAGCCAATCAGACGCCTCGTGTCGCTTGTATGACTTTTATTTCATTGGCTTCAGCTCATCACAGTCAGTGCTAACAGCCTCCACCCCCCACCCCCCTGCTTGTGCTTTGTAGTATTCTGATTGGCTGATTGTGGGGCCCTCTTGGATCATAGGGAATCAGCCAGTCAGAATAGCTGTAGTCTGAATAATCAAGTGGAATTTGCAAACTTTTCACCTTCATGTTGTTGATTTAATCTTTTCTAACATTTGCACTGATCGGTTTACAGAAATTCATGATTTAATTGACAGAATTAAGATATTCAGTGACATTCAGTTCAAACAATTTTTTAAAACATGCAAATCATTAAAACCTGTAAAAACTTCCCAAACATTCAACATAATTTTTTTTATTAAGGGGCTTTTAAAATAACATTTTCATTAATATAGAACTTTAAATGTATTTTTAATGTTTAATGGGACATTTCCATATTAAGTTGTGCATTTTACCATTTAATTGTATATCGTTCCAAAAAAGTAAAAAAAAAAACAAAAACACCGGGCTTTGTTTTCCAACTTTGAAGACGTTTCGCTTCAATCCATGAGGCTTCCTCAATTCAAGATGTCTGGATTAGCGTTGAGTTCCAAGCTTTATAGAGCGGCCCAAACAAAGCCTTGTTTTGCTTAGAAAACATGCAAATCGAACCACAAGGCTGGATCTGGCTGTGAAGGAGCGCAGTGGAGAGACGAAGCTTCTTTCAATCTAAATAGAAGATAGAAAAGATAATATTAGCAAAGGATGCAGGAAGGAATACTCATTAGAGATTTGTAGGAAGCTTTTAAAAAGCTGCTTTGATTCATCCCATGGAAGGACTGTTAGATCATTCTCTTGCAGCAGAATCGAAACCCTAATGTTTAGAAGCCTTTAGGCTATCAGGTGTTCATTGCATTCATCAGACAGACGGCGTGTGTGTGTGGATAAGCTTTCTCTGTTGTAATGTTACAACAACCTGAAGGTTAAACTCTTAGCAGTTTAGTTTTTTGTCCAGGATGTGTGGGGTCTGCAGTAGGGATGAAACAGTTAATTGTGATTAATCGATTATTGAAATAATCTGCAACTAACTTACCAAAATAAAATCGGACATGGGGTTGACGACTTAATTTGTAAATGCAACTCAATAAACATGAATACATTTACAATTTGTATTTATGGGCATGTAGGTGGTGCAGTGGTTAGTGGGCACGACCCATGTATGAAGGCCTTAGTCCGCGACGCGGCCGACCCGGGTTTGAATTTGGCCTTTGGTCCTTTGCCACATGTCTCCCCCCCCCCACTCTCCCACCCCCAGTTTCCTGTCAGCCTACTGTCAGAAAAACAATCCACTAGTGCCTTAAAAACAAAAAAAAATATTTATTCTTATTTGTCAACTGAAACATTACATGTGAACTCAGATGGTTCATCTGTGACAATACAGGTTCACAAGTTGCAGAAACAAATTCAATTCAGTTCAATTCAGTTTATTTATATAGCACCAATTCACAACACATGTCATCTCAAGTCACTTTACAGTTCAACCAGATCATCCAGTCAGATTGATTCAAAGTTTTCTATCTAAAGAAAACCAGTTGATTGCATCGACTCATTGACTCAAAGGCAATCCCTCACATCAAGCATGCTTGCAGCGACAGTGGAGAGGAAAAACTCCCTTTTAACAGGAAGAAACCTCCAGCAGAACCAGGCTCAGTGTGAGCGGCCATCTGCTGAGGCCGGCTGGGGTTCAAGGAGACAGAAGCAGAGATATAAAAGGCGGCTCCGTCCAGGAAACACACAGCCAGGCAGACGAGCCCCCAAACAAGTCTAATTGACGAGTACAATATAACAGTCATTATATTAGAAATATTAGGATGCATCGCAAGAGAGGAGTATAGAGGGAACTTTGCTCCATATTTTTAATAATGGATTTATTTATTTTTTTTTTAAGTTTCTATTTTTCAGATTGTTTTTGCAGCGTTTAAACACAATCTAAAAATTTGTCAACATTTAAGTTAAGGGTATTTACCCTTAATTTGAGTTGGTAAGAGAGGATTTTCTTATGGAATTAGATTTTTTACTCTTAAAATAAGATAATTAGATAATATGCACTTGAAATAATATAATAATATTTTCTTATTTTAAATTTAAATTGTTTTATTCTGCCGGCAAAGTATCTCACTTACCTCCTTGAGACCAAATATACTTATTTTAAGAAAAGACAACTTATCTAGATTTCTATTTTTTTCCAGTGAAGATCACGTTCTCTTCACATCTGGGGGCGGGACTTCCTCCATTGATGTTGGCAACATTTTTATTGGGGGATGTGACCTTGGAAAAGAATTTGAGAAGCAATTTAAAAAGATTGCAATTCATACAACTCAATCTGAAAAAGAGAAATAAAAAAGAAATTGAATCTATTATAAATAAGAAAAATAAAATTTGAAAATATACATTCTTTAAAAGAATTTAGTTTTAAAGAATTGGAAATAGTTCAGTATAGGAAGCTTTTATGCTTTTGTACAAAGCTTTTCCTGTGTAAGTTTTTGGTATTGGATTTACAAAAGTCTAATTTCTTGTAAGTTTTCTTGCCTGTGTCATAAAAGTTCAGACTAAGGATTTTTTTTTTTGCTTTAATCCCTGAATATTTCAGTAGGTGAAAAAATAAATACGGTAAAAAAGAATTGGAAATAGAAAGTCTCTAAAATCTACAAAAATATAATTTAACTTTGAAAAGCTAAAATATGAAAAACATTTGATTAAAAAATATTATTTGAAATGACAAAAATCTGAAAAAACAGCAAAATTACTCTCAAAACCTGGATTGCATTTATTTCCCCCCTCAAATTTCCTTTTATGAAACTTTTTCTCTGTTTGCAACAATATGGGAACAAAGTCATTATATAAGAATGCTCCAATCAAAAGATTATTTATTATAAAGTTTAAATTATACATTAAATACCTAAAAGACCCTGCATAGGGCTGCAAAAACCACAGCAGGAACATTAACAGCACCGTTTTAAACGTCTTCTCACCATAAATGTTGCTTTAGCTTCTAATTCTGCTCTACATGTAGCTTTGATTTCATCCCAGACTTACAAACATGGTAAACGTTGATGTGATCCTCCGTCTGTCTCCTCTCATCTCTTTCAGGTTTAGTTTCTTTTCACGTGACAAGCAGCGCGGCTCGCAGCGGGACGCCGGCGGCTTCGGCTCGTGGATGCAGAGAGACGACGTGTACACGGAACAAGCCCAGGAGGCCCTGCAGCACCTCTAGAGAAGCTCCGCCCCAAATCGCTCCCCCTGCACATTAAACTGACTCATCCTGCAAGCGGAAAAAAAGCAAACTTTGCTTCAAAGTGAGACGGACTGAAAGAAAGAATGAAAAAAGATTATTTAAAGAGGCGTAGAGACGGAGCGGCTCTAAAATGCTTCGGTTGCACAGGAGCTGGTTAGCCCACATAGATGGAGAGAGAGAAAGGGATTTCTTTAGACTGAAGAAGGTTTTCCAGATGACTGTTGGCTTTATTTTTTTATTCTATGTAGTAGAAGGTTGAAGCATGAATGAAAACCCGACTCTTTATGTAGTTTACAGTTAGGGCAGTATTTTTTTTATTTTTATTCTTTATTTAACTTTTTGCTGTCATGTTGGCCCCAAACATGGGATCACTGCTCAGCAGCTCCACCAATCAGATCGAAGCCTGAGGAGGAAACGTGCCGTTGAATCCTGATTGAAACCAGCAGCAGATAAATGAGCTAAAGCACCTTAGCACAGCAGGATAAACTGAAGCCCATTTCTGCAAAGAGAAGCACATGGGGACTAAGGTGAGCCGGCCTCAAAACGACAAACTAAAATACTAAAACAGCACATTTTGGGTTTATTTACACCCTGTCCACCTTCCCATTCAGATTATGGGATTAGATTTAACACACGGAATATATTTTACTTTATATTTAAAAAAAAAGAAAATGAAAAACTACCCACTGGACTTTGTTTCCAAGTTTAAAAAGACGTTTCGCTTCCCATCCACACTGCAAAAATGATCTAGAAATAAGCAAAAATGTCTTTAATCAAGTGTATTTACCATTAATTTTAGTGTGTAAATGGGATGATTTGCCAATAGAATGAGTATTTTTACTCTCAAAATAATTAGATAATATGCACAATGCAATTATTTTCTCTTATTTTAAATGTAAATTATCTTGTTCCATTGGCAGTGTCTCACTTCAATTCAACAAAAAATGCACTTGTTTTAAGAAAAAATGACTTTTTTAGATTAAGATTTTTTGCAAGTCAGGAAGCTTTTTCAATCAAAAATTTCAGGAATAGCGTTGAGTTCAAGGTTTTATACATTAGCCCAACAATGCCTTGTTTTTTGTTTTGAAAACATGTAAATAGAAACAGACGAAGGGATCCACCCCTTTGAATTTAACGCTATTCCTGACATTTTGAACTGAAAAAGCTTCCTGGCTGGGAAGCAAAACGTCTTCAAACTTGGAAACAAAATCAAGTGGATTGTTTTTAATTTTATTTTTTCAGAATGACTACGACTTGGATGACTGAGAATCTTCACCAGCGTTTTACTTTATACTTTCATATTTTTACCTTAAAGAAATCATAAATTTCTTCATAGTTTTCTTTTCAAATCCAATTCAGAAATACTTAATTAATACCAAAGGGAAAATAATGAAAATTATTTATAATTATTTTTAAAATGTATTTTCCATATATTTTAAAACTTAAATAGAAAATAAACAACATTTATTTCATGGAGTCAAATAGTCGTCTTTTTTCATCATCTGCCTAAAAAGCCTGAATAAGTTTCATATCCTAAAGTGAACAAATTACCTTTAAATGCTATCATTTAGTTTAGAAGCAGCAGTATTACGTCTTTAAGCAAACCTTATTCTAAACTGCCTCTTTCATGCCTTTAGTGTTTTGAAATCCAGATTAGAAACATCGGCTTATAGGATTATTTTATCACAGTAACTTGATGGGCTTGAATTAAAAGGCTCCTGATTTAATCAAGTGTTTTAGCATGAATTTATTTCTTTAGGTTGAATTAGTTTCATGAAACTAAACTTGGTGATGTTTGTCTTTTTGAATCCATCGACACTTGACTTCATACAGCCTCCTTCATAGTTAAAGGGCCTCCTGATCATAAATTTGATTCCAGGCTTTAAAGGGACACTGTCTACCAACCACTATTCTTTTTATATATATATATTCTTTAACAGTTTAATAACGCTAAAAAGTAAAAACATTTTCACGATTTTGAAATAGTAGCTTATAAATGCATATCGGGGCGTTGAACCCAATGGGAGACGCCATGTTGTGTCACCATTTTTAATCGGAGTAGCTGAAAGGGGAAAAATGTGTCAGCCTTATGCGTTTTAGCATGTGGGAGGAGCATTGAGAGAGCGGCAGTAATATGGTGGAGCGCAGAGCGGTTTTCAATTCAAAGGCTGGCGCGAAGATTTAGCTCCGATGCGCTCACAACATAGATTAAAAAATGTTGGACTGTAAAATTTTTAAAATAACATTTATTTGATTTAAGTGTGATTTTGTTTAATTTTTTTATTCTTTGCGACAATTAATAAATAGGAAATGCGTTGCAACATGAATGGAGCGAGGTGTTAAGCCGGGCTTACACTGTGAGATATTTCTGCCCTTTTCAGGCCGACTTTCCAGTCGTGCGAGAATTTTCCGATCGGGCCGACTTTCAGCCTGATCGTGCGTCGTATAGTGTACAGCGGTTATGAGGGGCGATCAGACTCTCACGACCACCTCCTGATCAGGAATCGTGAGGTCAAGGGAGAATCATGTTTGATTTTCAGTCGACCGTCGTGGACAAATCGCTGAGTGCTCAATCAAGGATACTACTTCTTCCTCAGATGTAAACACAGCAGCATGGCGGGGGTGCAGTGAGTGAAATAGAGTTGTTTCTGTAACATTGACAGACAGTAGTAGCCACGTTTGCTCAGCCATGTCTTTGTCCAAAAATGTTGTTTTTTTCTTTTTAGGGCTTTAAGCACAAAATGGCACAAATTGCCAAGGCAGCGCGTTTCTTTCTAGTGAGCTTCACATTCCTCTTCTACTCATTTGGCTTCTAGGTAGACGAGTCCGAGTAGCGCCATCTCACTGTGGAGCTGAGTCCGACGTGGGTTTTAGACGTACAGTGTGAGCAGGTAGAGAGCATCAGCGTCGTGCTGCACAGTGTTAGAACATGCATCTTGAGCTGTGAACTCACAGTGTACGAGGAAACCCTGCGGTTTTGTCATACAGAGTCAGCTGTAGCTGTGTGCCACGTCTGAAAAAAAATTGCACAATGTATGCCCGGCTTTACGCTCACAGCTGGGAAACAGTGCGATCATTTAACAGCCAGTTTGATAAGACAATAAACATGTATCGGTCACATCGTTAAATCAAACGCAGTGTGTCCCAGGGCTCTGGCATCATTACATGAAGGACAAAGGTCAGAAATCTGAGCGAGCGTGGAGCGATTTTGAAGGCAGCTTCCTGTCAAAACTTTGAGCAAAAAAGCAAACATCCTCCTTGCACGGCACTCTGTTCACATGCTCTGGATGGGAGAGAACAGAAAACAACCATAGATCATTCTACTTTCAACTTTTTGATGCAATGGAGGACCATCTGTACTCTATGTCCAGTGAGAGTCGAGAGAAAAAAACCAAAAACAGAAGTAATAACATTGAAAACCACATCAGTGCAGCTTTTAACAGGTGGAGACATTTTATGAGGAGGCGGGGCTTCAAACTGGTTTCTGGTTAGTTCAATATAAAAGTGGAGTTTAGAAACAGAGCAGTGTAGTCCAGCAACTAGTCTGAGACGGCTAGTTTGATTATTATCCTCTAGACTGGATGAGCTCTGATGCAGCAGAAATCAGCTGCTGTTATTCTTTATTAAAGTGATACAAACAGGCGACCATAAGCTTCTATCAGTTCTGTTTTCATAGAGATTTTCCACCTTTTTTTTGTTGAAAAAGCTTCCAGGATGGGAAGCAAAATGTCTTCCAAACACCTCAAAGTCCAGTGGATTGTTTTTTAACTTTTTTGGAATGACTATGACCTGGAACACTGAGAATCTTCACCACTATTTCCACCTGGTTCATCATTTATTTTAGCTCATATATTAAGGGGGATAATTGCAGCTCTGACTAGAGATGGTGTTTGTTAGCCTAAACTGGATCAGCAGATATCAGCTGCTGTTATTCTTCGCAGCAGTCATACCCGCTAAAGAGCGTAGGCTTCTTTCACTGCGGTTCTTAGAGAAGTGTTTCTAAATTAATTTAAGCTGATTTGACAAAAGTGGTAGAGGTTGATGTGTTATCTCTATTAGAAAGAGGAAAATGTCAGCCCATGGCTTCAATAGTTGGCCTACAGTAGGTCTGCTTGTAATTATTTTATTGCACCACTAGATGGAGGTTAATCTTACACACTATCCCTTTAAATTCAGTTGTTTTACAGGTCTGAATCCAACCCAACATTATTTAAAACATTTAGAAATTACCGTACAGCATTTTGTCCGACGACAGTGTCTAATTTCACTTGCACCACTTATCCTGTAATACGGTAAAGCGATTCAGAGCGTCCGGCACCAGGCTTCACGTGATCCAAATGATCCAATGAGCTGCTGTCAGTCTGGGTTGCTGCTGCTGCTGCTTTTAGACACAGCAGGCAAACCTGTGGCAAGCCGGGCGATGGGAGAGAAGGAGAAGATGATGAGAAAAAGAGAGCAGAGAAAGTGTGGACTGCTGGAAGAACTGTGGTGAACTGGTGAAAGAAAAGTGAAATGGTGCTCAAAGAGGGCAGCATAAAGCCCACTGCGAACATTAAGACAGAAAAAAGAAAAAAAAAGAGCAACAAACGGTCAGTTCAGGTGTTTATAGACTGAACCAAACTGAAGGCTTGTTTTTCTTTACTTCAGAAAACACTTTAGTTTTTAAAATGGATTTATATATATATTTAAATTCGGTGTATAACATGGATGCATAAAAAACTATTTTTAAAGTAACAGATTATAATAAAAAATGTCTCCGGACCTTTACTGGTTGATGATTTTCATTATTCGGACCGAGTTCCCCCCTGGTGTAGAGTAATCTCTCCCAGCTCTGGGTTTGCATGATTTTATCCCTCCCTTACAAGTAGAGTGGGACTGATAAATTTTTAGGGCGAATATCATCATTTTGACATAAAAATAAACAATATTTTTCTTCTTTCTCACTTAACATGATAAAAATGACACCCTGATAACAAATGTTGAAAAAGTCTCAAACAAATTTGTATTTTTTAAGGTTGAATCTCTGCTTCATTTGGATGGTTAAGTTCTCTCCTTACCATTTCAGGAGACCCAATATTTCTTCTTCAACTTTGATTTAGAGTTTATATAAATATATAGGAGTTCTTTGGGTTAGAAATATTCTATAGAATGTTTTATGTGAAATAGTTTTTATAGGACTGGTTGATGATAGAGATGCAGTGACCTGATGTTATTAGTTATTTAGTTCATTCCTGCATTGCAAAATATTAAATGAGCTATCAGAGAAAATGGGCCCCATTCATAAGGCCAAATCTATTCAATGTATTTCTATATTAAACTCGAGTTGGTTTAAAAAGCTCTTCAAAAGCAGGAAGCTTCCCCCTTTGTGGGCGTCTGTTTTTGATTAAATGATGACTCTCAGTTTAAACTCTTACAGATGAGTATTTGATTTTTGGATGAATTTCTTTTTTCTGAGTTTTTTTTTTTCTTTTTCTGACCTTAATCTCAAATTGCCTTTGTAAGACGGAGTATTAGGGCCAGGCTAGATATATTTCCTTTCTATTTCGCGAATAAAGTCGTAAAACTACGAGAATAAAGTCGCAACGAGAATAGTCATATTACAACAATAAAGATGTAACATTATGATAATAAAGTTGGAAAAATCCGAGAAAAAAGTCGTAAAGTTAC